TTCCGAGGCGGTATCTCTACAGAAGTAGATTGCCCAACCTTCCTTCCGAGGAGTGGCTGGTGGGTTTGAACCGCCAGCCTTCTGGTTAGCAGTCAAGTGCCTTAGGCACTATGCTACCAGAGCTCCTAGAGTAGAAGTGTAGTAAATGTTTATTGGAAGGATGGATGGATGGATGGACTGATGATGGATGGATGGAGCCTTGGGGGATGTCAGCAGGCCTGTGTTGTGATCCTGGATTTGCCTGCAACTCACTGTCTGGCCTTGGGCAAGTCCCCATTCTTCCCTCAGTTTCCATTTTCTTACAGGTAAACTAAAGGTGTGAGACTGGGCAACAGTGCCACCACAGGGTGAACATTAGCTCTTGAAAAGCTAAATAATCTCCCTCTTTGAGTCAGATCCGACTCATAGTGACCCCTCCTTGGGTTTCTGAGGCGGTATTGCTACGGAAGTAGATTGCTCAACCTGCCTTCTGAGGAGTGGCTGGTGGGTTTGAACCACCAGTCTTCTGGTTAGCAGTCAAATGCTTTACACTATGCCACCAGAGCTCCCATGTATAAAGCACAGATATACATATAGTACATAAACAGAGATACATCATATCAGTGGTATTAAAATTTCATGAGGTGAGGGAAAATTAAGAAACACATGTCTAGAAATACTCCTTAGGGGAGTGGCAATAAAACAAAGGTTGAGAAGCACTAGACTGGATGGTCTCTGTGGTTCCTTCCAGGTATATTAGCCTATGGACCTTTGTCTGTAGGTGAAGGGTTGTGCAGGAGGTCTCTGGAAGGGTGTTGTAGGAACAGGGAACAGCCAGAGCCAGAACTCTGTAACAAGAACATACCCCATTGCTGTCAAATAATTTCCAACTCCTAACAACCCAGTGTTACAGAGTAGAACCAGGTCCCATAGGTTTCAATGGCTGTCATCTTTACAGAAGCTGATCATCAGGGCTTTCCACCACAGCTCTGCTCGTGGGTTCGAACTGCCAACCTTTCAGTTAGCATCTGGAGGCAAATCATTTTCATCACCCAAAGACCAGCCAGTAAAGGCCATGAGGTCAGAGAGGCCGTGTGGGGCTGCAGCTGATGGAGGATCTTGCAAGATGAGGTCATTGGTTTTTCTCAGACTGGGATGAAGAGCCGGGGAGTTTTGAACAGGTAAGTGACATGATCTTCCTTTGAAAAAGACCGCCCTGCTGACTGCTGAACAGATTGTTTAGGAGAGAAGGTGGCAGCACGGAGCCTAGTGAGGAGAAGACAGAAGATGGCGGCTTGGACCATGGTGGTAGCAGTGGGGATGATAACAGGAAGTGGTCGGATTCTGGGATACATTTTCAAAGCAGAGCCAGCAGGATGTGCTGATGGATCGGATTGTGGGGTGGGAGAGACATGGAAGAGTTGTAGAGTCTCCCAAAGTTTTGGCTAGAACAACTGGGGAAAAGTGGCTTTGGTTTGGGATGGGTTCCATTTGAGATGTGTGTTAGGCACCCAATCAGCCCTGGTGGTGTGATGGCGAAGTGCTTGGCTGTTAACTGAAAACTTGGAGGTTCAAACCCATCCAGCAGCTCCACAGGAGAAAGACTTGGTGATGTGCTCCCTTAAAGAGTGTAGCCTAGGGAACCCTATGAGGCAATTCCACTCCATCACACAGGGTCGCTATGATTGCAATAAACTTGATGAACCTAACACCAACATTAGAGATCCATGTGTCAAGTAGGTGATTGGATGTTCAAGGATGTAAGTTAGAGAAGTCTGAGTTGAGAGAAGCACTCATAAGATGCTGTCTCTCCCCAGCCGTCTCAAGGCCCAGCCTCCTGTGTCCCACCCCTACAGCCCTCTGTGCTCGCCCATCACAGCTCCTATCCCCTTGGTATCCTTGTCTGTGTTCCTCTACCAAACCAGGTGAGGGCAAGTGCATTATGCTTCTCGTTTAGCATTGACTTTCCCAGGACCTGGCGCATAGTAGGTCCCAGGCAAGTTATCTGCTGAATGAATGGGATGATACAAGGAGGGGTTAACAATGATTAAAGCACAAATGTTCCCAAACATTTCCCCTCATTCCTGAGACAGATAATGGTATATTTTCCAGAAGGCTGCTCAGATCCCCACCCCTTCCTGTCCCTGTCAGACTAATTGGGCACTGGGACTTGGGCCAAGAGAAGCTGGAAAAGGAACCAAGGGGTTATAAGGACTATCAACACGATCTAGAGAATAAAGGAGCAGGAGAGTGGGAGGGGGAGAGGGAGAGGGAGAGGAAGAGTGTATATGCACTTATATGTATTATATCATTTTATATCACATACAGAGAGAGAGATCCCACCACTGCTCAGCCTGGAAGTGAGATGGGAGTGTATTGTTCTGTTTTACGGGCTTTCTTTAGAGGGTGGAGGGTGCTGAATGAGAAACTCCAGGACAGCGTGTGTGAGAAAATCGGGAAGAGAGAAAAGGAGTGTGAGAAGTTTCTCTAAGAAGCAACTGACCAGGAAATTACAACAACTATAAATATATGTGTACCTCACAACAGAGCATCAAAATTCTTGAAGAAAAATAAAATCTGGAAGCAAAAATGGGCAGAACTAAAGGGAGAAAATCTAAATCATAGCAGGCGATTTTGGCAGCTCTTCCTTAGTAATTGATAGCAACTAATCTTTAAAAAAGCTGTAAGACTATAGGAAAATCTAACTGGCACTGTCAACCACCTTGGCCTGACATTTGTAGAACACGATAGCCAACAACTGCAGAACACAGAGTATTCTGAAGTGCATACCCAAGGCTATCGAGGAAAGACCATATGCTGGGCCATAAGATAAATCCCAATTAATTTCAGATGATTGGACTCTCTGACAATGAAATCACTAACAAATTGATGACAATAAAAGATCTAGAAAATCTCAAAATGTTTGGAATTTAGATAACATATTTTTAAATCAAAGAAACTCTGGTGACGTAACGAAGAAGGCATTTGGCTGCCAACCAGAAAGCCAGTGGTTCAAACCCACCAGCCACTCTGTGGAAGGAAGATGGGGCAATGTACTTCCATAAAGATTTACAGCCTCAGGAACCCAAGGGGGTCATTATGAGTCAGAATAGACTCCATGGCGGTGAATTTTTCTTTTTTTTTTTTTTCATATTTTTAAAGGGAAATTAGAAACGGTCAGACTGGATGGTAATGAAAATACATTATTAATAATAATGAAACCGTGAAAAACACAAATACAAAACAAAATTGGTGATAAGCAGCTAAAGCAACACTTGGAGGAAAGTGCATAGCTTTCGATGCCTGTGTTAAAAAAGAAGGAAGGCCTAAAGTCAATGACCCAAGATTCTACCTTGAAAAGTTTGAACAGCAAAAAGATGGAAACAACCTAGTGGCCCATCAACAGAAGAATGGATAACCAAACTATAGTACATACACATATACAATGGAATACTATGCAACACTAAAGAATAACATAGAATCGGCAAAACACCACATAACATGGATGAACTTGGAGGACATTATGCTGAGTGAAATAAGTCAATCACAGAAGGACAAATACTGTATTAGTCTGTTATTGTAAAAAGTCAAGGAAAGGTTTATTTATGGAAGGAAATTTTCTTTGTTGGTTACCAGAGGTGGGAAGGGAGGGGAGGGAACACTGTTAGATAGGTGAGATAAGTATTGATTTGGGTGAAGAGAAGGGCAATGTACCAAATGTGAGTGATCAACATGGTGGCACTGAGGAAGAGGAAGACATAGAGAGGTGCATGGGAGGTACAGACAACAAAGATGAACATAGGGTTCTGTGTTGTCAGTGAAGGAAAACATTGATATATGGGTGGATAGATGGGTGGACAGGCTGAACTATTAAGTATGTCTATGGAGCGAGGAGTGTACCCAAGACCATATATAAGGTTAGCAGACAATGGTGCTATAAGTATATTTGTATGATCTGAATTCCCAGGTGTATAGCAGAGCTGACAAGGGACAAGTTTGTAGTCACTTCTTGGCCACAGCCAGCTACCTAGAGGGAGCAAATAGTTGGACCTGTGGGCTTGGGACCATAGTCACAGGGAACATCAAGCTTAATTGGCATAAATACTATAATTCCACATCCTACTTTGGCAAGTAGCAACTGGGATCTTAAAAGCTTGTAAGTCGCTATCTAGATGCAATGATAGGTCTCTCCTCACCCAGAGCAAAGAAGAATGAAGAAAACCAAAGACACATGGAAAAAATTAGTCCAATTAGTCCAAGCGACTGGTATAACATACCATCCTCAGCCTAGAAGACTATGAGAACTACGTGGTGCCCAACTACCACTGTCAACGACTTGGAGGGGGATCTATGTAGGAGATCCTAGACAGAGTGGGAGAACAACATGGAACAAAACTCAAAATCATTAAAAAAGGGGGGGGACCAGGTTTGCTGGTCTGATAGAGCCTGATAGAACCCCTGAGACTATGGACCCTAACTGCCCTTCAGATCTGGAACTGAACTCAATTCTGTGGCTTCCAGCCAAACAAAAGACAGGCATAGGAGTTGAACATTTACATTAGGTTGATACACTCCTTGGAGAGATCAATTGTGGGAGAATAGAAGAGCTGTGTATGCACAGGGATACAGCTCGGGGGCAGGAGTGCATGGGAGGGAAGGACACAGGGAAGAGGTAACTATGGGGAGGAAGTGGGAAGGGAGCTGTTGCATTGTGGGAAATTGTAAAAAATGTCATGAGACAAAGTATATGTGAACTGCTATATGGAAAATGAATTTGCTCTGTAAACTTTCACGCAAGTCACAATAAAAATTTAAGAAAAAAAAACTTGAACAGGAAGAACTAAGTGAACTTGAGGTAAAGATAAAGAAGGAAATAATACAAATAAAAGCAAAAATCAGTGAAATAAAACAAATGATAGAGAAGGTAACAAAGCTGACAATTGGTTCTTGGAAAAGATTAATGAAATTGAAAAACACAAGTCAACACTGGACCTTCTTTTTTATTACTTGTAGGAGTGTCCCACATGGGTGCTGGCTTTACATGGGTTACGTGGGGAGGCAAGATGAGAGAACGTATCGCCACCTCCCCAGCCCCGCCACTCAGACAAGCCCCGGCGCACTCCTCAGTGCCAGGCCCCCTGCTCACTGCTGGATCCTGCGGATACTCTGCACCTGGAAGGTCTGGGCGTGAGAGCCCCACTCCCGGAAATGCTTGTAGTGTCCCGAGTGGTGATCGCACTCCAGCACGTACTGAAAACCTCGGTAGCCAGGAAACTGGGAGCAAACCCAGCTGGAGGAGGGAAGAGACAGACTGTTACCCGAGAGAGGCACCAGCACAGTGATGAAGACAGGGAGGGGCAAATGAGTCCATGCTGCAGACACATTCCAGCTATTCTGGCTTTTTTTTTTTTTTTTTTTCAGTGCCCGGAATTATCATTCTCTTCCTACCACTGGGTCTTTGATCATGCTGTTCCTTCTACCAGGAACACTGTTCCAGTCACTCTTTGTCTGGCCAAGGCCTATTTGTCTTTCAGGTTTTAGCTCAATCATCATTTCATCAGGAAACCCTTCTCTGTTCCCCAAAATAGACCACAGTCCCTTATCGTACCATCTTTCAGTATACTGTGTTCTTCCTCCGTAAGCCTCACTCAATTACAGAATTGTCGAATTATGTGTAACACGTCAGCCTCCCCTACCAGGAGGTAAGCTCCCTGGGAATAGGGATATGTGTGTCTTCACTATTATCCCCAGTGCCTAGCACAATGCTTGGCATAGAGGAGGGGCTCGATAAATATTTGGTGAATGAACGAATAGACGAATGAATGGGAAGTCTAATTCCTTCCACTTCCTCCCTTATCCAGAAAGACTTCCCAGGAAAGGGGTATTATTCTTTGACTCCCCTGTTACGGAGCAAATTGTGTCCCAGCAAAATTCACATTGGGATCCTAACCCCTCTACCTGTAGATGTGATCCAGTTTAGAAACAGGAGTTTCTTTGTTATGTTGATGAGGTCCTACTGATGTGGGGGTGGGTGCTAAAACTAATCATTCCTGAGTTATCAAATGAGCAGGTTAGACACAGAGAGAGGCACAAATGGGGGAACACAGATGTCAGGTGGGGATCATCTGTAAGCCAAGGGACCACGGACCACCAGGGCTACCAGCAAGGAAAGAGCCCACATGACCGAGACCTTGACCTAGACTGTTGGCTCAGAACTCTGAGACCATAAATTGCTGTTCTTGAAAGTCATCCACGTGTGATATTTTTGCTACAGCAACACTGGGACATTAAGACCCCCTCCCACTGTTCAGGATGGGGCAAGGACTGGGGTCTTGTTTTCTGAGCCTCTGTTTCCTCTTCTGGAAAAGAAGGAAGTGTCTCCAATGCCACAAAGGAGACATCCTACTCAGAAAGACAATGATTTCCTGGTGGCTCTTGAGAAAAGTTACCACAAAACAAGAACAACAAAAAACCTGCCACCCCCTCAGCTCCTGCCTAGAAGAAGCCAGAGAACAACTTAGAAGACAGCTTTAATGGCTTCAGTAAGCAAGGATCTCAGACTTCAGCCTTCACCTGCCCCCTCCTGAGTGAAAAGCGTGAGAAGGGTCAGTTGGTCTTGGACATGAGGCTGGACTCAGATACTTACCAGGTTTGGGCTTTGAGCAAGTTGCCAAGATCACATCTGAGCTTTTGATGATAGGCCTTCCATCTCACCTCTCAGCCAATGGGGGGAAGTGGGACTGATTTCTACAATGAGCATGTGACCAGGCCTAGCCAACCAGAGTATCCTATTCTTCTGGGTGTGGTGATTGATTCAGAGCTGACCATGTGAGAGAAGGCCAATGAGAGCCTTCCCTGGAAGCCTTGATAGACTCATAGAGGAGAAAGAGGCACTCACTTTCCTTGGGGCTTTAGTGTAAGGATGAAGCTGTGGCCATTGACCTGACATGTCAAGAGAACGCCTGAGAATGTAGCTACAAAAAGGGAGGTAGAACAAGAGGGGGAGAAATGCAGATATCTGCTGTAGCATCTGGATCCAGCTGTGCCTGAAACCATTACGTGGAACAATACATCTCCTTTTGGCTTACGCTAGTTTGATTTGTGTTTCAGTCACTTAAAGTTCCCCAGATTCTGGCCAATACCTCCCTGTGCCACCACATCCCTCTCTGGAATGTGGGCATCAGCCCCCAGCCCCCAGCACAGGGTTTTCACAGGAAGTACCCCTACCCACCCCAGCATCCTCCCTTCCCCCTGCCAGGCAGAGCCTTGGAGTCACTTACGCCCCAGAGTGAACTTGGAAGGAACCCACTTCCTTGCCATCCCAGCCCATGGCCTGGAGGGAGGAATAGTCATCATTCAGCTCCCCTTTCCTGCCCAGGAAGTTCTCTTGCTCAAATATGGTCAGCCTCGAGTCACGGTGGTTCTGTGGGCACAGGAAACAGGTTCAGACCCCCAGACTCCCAGTTCCAAACTCAAGAGCATCTGCTGGCCCCCACACCCATGCCCTTCTCTCCCAAATCAGCCCCTCCTTGCACACTTTTTGGGAGGGCAAGAAGGCAACAGGTGCCAGAAACCTCAGACAGGATATATCCTTTGTCCAGTAAGCCCCCTACCAGAAATTAACGCAAAGGAAAGAACCATGGAACAAATTAGCTGTAAAGGATGCTCATCCTCAGCCCGGGTGACAGAGGAAAACACCAACACACAGCAGAACTAAACCTGGAATCAACCTACATGTCCAACAGTAGGGAACCAGGTGGTGAAATTTCACCATGGTTAAGAGGATGGGTGCAGAGACCTGGGTTCAAATCTTATCTCTGCCATTTACTGGCAAACTGAACTTAGACACATCACTTGGTATTTCCAGGCCTCTGTTTCCATATCTCATATAGGGTCACTATGAGTCGGAATCTACTTGACAGCAATGGGTTTGTTTTTGGGGGTTTGTTTCCATATCTATAAAACAGAACTAACCACACCTACTTTTCGGGGTTGCATTGAAGATTGAATGAATTCAGGAATTTATTTTCTGCTGAATTGTAAATGGTGTAAGGTCAGGGATTATACCTCTCACATTCCTCCATGGGTCCCTGTATTTAGCACAATGTCTGAGCAATTGGGGGAATAGATTAGCAGATGAGCTTATTCACATAATGGAATACTAGAGAGCTATGAAAAATGACATTGCAGATGAGAGTTAATCATCTAGGGGGACGACTGTGAAATACTTGCCTAGTTAGGAAAACCAGTTCATTATGATTCCATTTTTTTAACATCACACACACACACACATATGTACAGGAGCTCTGGTGGTATAGTGCCTAAGGCATTTGACTGGTAACCAGAAGGCTGGTGGTTCAAATCTACCAGCCACTCCTCTGCAGGAAGGTTGGGCAATCTGCTTCCATAGAGATACCACCTGAGAAGCCCAATGAGGGGTCACTATGAGTCAGATCCGACTTGATGGCAGTGAGTTTGGGTTTTTGAGTTTATATGCATATACATATATAATGTTTTCCTGTGGATAGCAGGTAGACCAGAAAGAAATCCACAGCACTATTAAAAATGGTGTAAGTATAAGTGACTTTTGTTTTCTTATTCTGTTGTATCAGTCTCTTCCCCTAAATATTGGACAATAAATATGTATACCTTGTGTGGTTTTTAATCAATAACAATTGTTTTTTAAGTAAAAAAAGAAAAAAACTTTCTCAGCCTCAATTTTTTCATCTGTAAATTGGGGATAAAAAGAAACAAACCCATTGCCATCAAGTTGCTTCCGACTCATGTATGGCACAAGCAATTTGCACTCACTGAAAGGCTGGTGGTTTGAACCTACCCAATGACACTGTGAAAGAAAGGCCTGGGTGATCCGCTTTCATAAAGATTACAGCTAAGGAAACCCTATGGAGAAGTTCTGCTCTGTAACTCATGGTGTCACCCAGAGTCGGAATCAATTCAACAGCAATGGGTTTAGGTTTGAAGATGGGAACAAGAGTGCCCACACCACCCATATTCCATAGGTAGCAACTACACGATAAAATCAGGGGCACTGGTTACGAATCAAGGAGCCCTGGTGGTGCAGTGGTTAAGGTATTTGGCTGCTAACCAGAAGGTCCATGGTTCAAACACACCAGCCGCTCCGTGGAAGAGAGGTGAGGCAGTCTGCTTCTGTAAAGATTTACAGCCTTGGAAACCCAGTGGGAGTCACTGTGAGTCGGACTCGACTCAATGGCCGTAGGTTTGGTTATGAATCAGGAGCAAGAAGTCAGGTGCTTCCACCTCGCCTTACTTTGCCATCACTGGCCCCAGCTTCTCCGAGGATCCCTGACTCACGCAAAGAAGGGTGCAAAGCACGTACGGGCACATATCATATCCAGAGCTGCTGTGGACAGTGTTTGTGGCCGACTGTGGTCAGGTGCTTTACATTTTTTCCCCTATAATACAGATACTGGAGTCCCTGGGTGGTACGACTAGTTAATACACTCAGCTACTACTAACAAAAACTTGGCAGGTTTTAGTCTACTCAGAAGTGTTCCCAAAGAAAGGTCTGGCAACCTATGTCTGAAAAATTAGCCATTGAAAATTCTGTCAGTCAAAGCTGAGTGATGGCAACTGGTACCAGTAGACAGGCACCATGATCCAATTGCATGATGGCAAAACTGAAGCTCAGAGAGGGGAGGCACCACCCAAGTCTCACAGCTTGAAGAGGTGACATCAGTGTGTAAACCCCGGGTCATCTGATTCCCAAGCCCCCACCGGGGGCTGGAAGCCAGGAGGGAGGCTCAATATCTCCCCGAGACCAGGCAGGGGCAGGACTCACCGTGCAGGCCACGGGCCGGAAGGAGGTGAGCCTCATGGAGGGGTAGGCCGTGTTGCCGCTCCAGGCGTCCCAGCATGGGTAGTCGCCCCGCTCCAGCACGTATTGCTGCCCTTGATAGCCAGGATGCTCAAAGCCCACCCACCTGCGGACAGAGGATGGGGCAGGGGGGCGCTTAGGTGAGAGAGCCTTACCTGAGTTAGAGCAATATTTTCATCCAGGGTGGAATTTGCCCGCAAGAGACATTCAACAGTGTCTGGGGACTGTTTCTTTGAGCCTTGGATGGTGTAAATGGTTAACGCACTCACCTACTAACCAAAAGGTTCCAGGTTTGAGTCCACCCAGAAACACCTGGGTGGAAGAAGGGCCCGGTGATCTCTTCCTGAAAGATCAATTGGAAACCCCACGGAGCACAGTTCCGCTCTGACACACGTGGGGAGAGAACACAGGAGTCAGAACTGTCTCAGCGGCAACTGTTTTTTGGTTTTGGTTTGTTTTGGAGACATTTTTGGTTGTCACGAATGGGGGGGCAGATACAACTGGCATGTTGAGGGTTAAAATCAGGGAGGCTGCTCAGTGTCCTACAATGCACAGCATGGCCCCTAACACAAGGAAGTCTTCAGCCCAGACATCAACAGTTGAGATAAGGAGAAAATCTCCCCAGGTTCAGAAAGCCTGCTCTAGACCCAGAGGCCCACCAACTTGCTTGTGTCCTGCAGATTCAGGAGCTGCCCCCTGCTGGTCTCCTGACGACCTTGCACACGTCCATACAGGTCACTGAGGCGTATATGACCAAAGCCTTGGGGGCACTCCTTGTCACCTCCCTGAATATCAGAAAACAGGCAGTTTCTCACCTGCCTCCCTATCTCTAGAGAGGGTTCCATGAGTCCATTCTTTATCTACCGCTGTGGTTTGCATGAGATACAAGTCCTTCCCACCTGGCCACCCTGTGGGCTCCAGCAGCTGGCAATGAAATCACTTAGCTGTTGCAGAGAAGAGGCTCCCAGCAGCAGTGTCCTTCCTGTCCCCCTTGCACCTGTTGCCTGTCATCTGTTCACCCTTTAGTGTTGGTGCTGTCCTGTGCAATGAGGGAAGTTGAAGGTTGTATTCCTGCCTATGTCAGGAATACACTGTCTGCATCCATCCGGGCTTCTCTCCTTACCGGCCTGCTTGACATACCTCTGGACAGATCACTGTCCTCCTCTGAGCCCCATGTCCCTATTTGTACAACACAGAAGCTAAAAGAGCAGTTCCCGTAGAGTAAGGTGTGTTAATATTGCTCACTCACAGGCGGAGCATTCATTCCATGACTCGAGTCACATAGGGAGGACATTGTTCTCCTTTCAATCCTTCTAGAACCACACTATCCAACATAGTAGCCACCAGACACATGTAGATAATTAAATTACATGTGTTGTTGTTTTTGTTGTTATGTACCGTCAAGTCAAACCCAACTCATAGTGACCCCTCCTTGGGTTTCCAAGGCAGTATCACTACGGAAGTAGATTGCCCCATCTTCCTTCAGAGGAGTAGCTGGTGGGTTTGAACCTCCAGCCTCTGGTTAGCAGTCAAGTGCCTTAGGCACTATGCTACCAGGGCTCCCAAACTTACATTTAAACTAGTTAAAATGAAATACAGGTAGTCCCCAAATTACAACAGGGTTCCGTTCTGACTCCATTGCAAGTTGGTTCTAACATAAGTTGAATCCTGTCTTGTTTTTTTCCAGTTTTCATTATTATTGCTCTTTAATATTAGTATCTTTATAAATGTAATCTTTGAGCATGTGCGAATCAGCATCTGAGAGAGGTGACATTAACAAATTCTGTGCTGTGATATTGCATCTGGTATGTACGATAAAACATACAAGAAAAACCAGAAGCGACAGTTCTAAGTGTGGTGGCTGTAACTCAAATAGGTTATAAGTCGAGCACAACCTGTAAATCACAATGCCGTGACATCGCAAGTCCTCAACAGTCACATGTGGTCGGTGGCTCTGACTTGAGCCACGCAGACAGAGAACTTTCCCATCACTACAGGAAGTCCTGTTGAATGTGCTGGTCTAGAATGGCTGTGTGTCAGTTGGTGGTCCGCTGGGAGAGTTCTCGCCTTCCATGTGGGAGACCCCGGTTCAGTTCCCAGCCAACACACTGCATGCACAGCCACTCCCTGTCAGCCAGTGGAGGCTCTCACGTCACTGTGATACTGAGAAGGCTTCAGTGATGCTTCCAGATTAAGACAGACCAGGAAGAAAGGCCTGGTGAACTACTTCCAAAATATCAGCCACTGACAATGCTATGGGCCACACTGGTCCAATCCCATCGCACATGGGGTCGCCATGAGTCTGGCTCAGCGGCAATTAACAATAACAACACCCCTCTCACAACCAAAAATGAGGACAAAGCAGGACCAGCAGCGTTTCGTTTCTTCCACACGTGGGGTCGTCATCAATCCAGAGCCAACTCAGTGGCAGCCAACAACAACTAACACCACTCTTCATGGCACTGAGCTCTTTATTTGTGTCTGTGTGTGTGTGTGTGTGTGTGAAAACCTTTTCATTTTGCCTAAGCTAATGGTGCAAACGGTTATCAAGATCAGCTGCTAGCAAAATGTGGGGGCTTTAACAATGTGGAGCAAAACTCAAAATCATAAAAAAAATAGAGACCAGGTTTGCTGGGCTGATAGAGCCTGGGAAACCCCTAAGACCATGGCCCCTAGATGCCCTTCAGGTCTGGAATTGACTTACTTGTAAAAGACCAACATACGGGCTCAACATTTATACCAGGTAGATACACTCCTTGGAGAGATCAAACATGGGAGAACAGAAGGGCTGTGTTTGCACAGGGAGATGGCTGGGGGGACAGGAGTGCATGGGAGGGAAGGACACAGGGAAGAAGTAACTATGGGGAGGAGGTGGGATGGGAGCTGTTACATTGTGAGAAATTGCAGTCAATGTCATGAGAGAAAATGTGTATGAACTGCTATATGGGAAATGAATTTGCTCAGTAACTTTTACCCAAACCACAATAAAAATTTTAAAAAGAGAAAAAAAAAAAAAAAGGCTGGGGGTTCAAGTCTACCCAGAGATCCCTTGGAAGAAAGGCCTGGCAATCTACTTCTAAAATATTAGCCATTGAAAAGACCACTCTGACCCACATGGAGTCACTACAGCAACTGGTTACATTGTATACAACCAAAACCACACTGCTGCCATGGAGTCAGATCGGACTCAGCGACCCCTCCTTGGGTTTCTGAGGCGGATCTCTATGGAAGTAGATGCCCAATCTTCCTTCCAAGGAGTGGCTGGTGGGTTTGAACCGCCAGCCTTCTGGTTACCAGTCAAATGCCTTAGGCACTATGCCACCAGAGGTCCTTTGACAACAAGCTAATTTACATACATAACTTTACATTGGATCCCATGAAATGAGTGCTTTATACTTGTAAAGATACAGAAACTGACCTTCAGCGGTGCCCAAGGTTACAAGTACTAAGTAGCAAATTTCATTAAGCTCTTTAAAAAGTAACCAACCAACCACGAGAGAGCAGGTCTCTGCTCAGAGCCTCAAGCAGGCAATGATTCAGACAAAAATCATTAGCATGATTTATTTCTACTTTTGATGGATGATGTTGGCTTTTGATTTATGCAAATGAAGGCATTTGGGACCCTACACTGCTGCATCTGGTGGGCAGGGTACATGTAAATGGCTCCCCCTACAGTTTTGTGTTGAACAAATTACTCCAGGAAGCTGGACTCTATGAAGAGCGTGGCACCAGGATTAAGGAAGACTCATTAACAGCCTACGATACAAGATGACACAACCTTGCTTGCTGAAAACGAAGAGGACTTGAAGTACTTACTGATGAAGATCAGAGTCTACAGCCTTCAGTACGGATTACACCTCAACATAAAGAAAACAGAAGTCTTCACAACTTAACCACTAAGCAGCATCAGGATAAACAGAAAAGATGGAAGTTGTCAAGGATTTCATTTCCTTTGGATCCACAATCAAAAGCATCACCCATGGAAGCAGCAGTCAGGAAATCACATCATTTTGCACTAGGCAAATCTGTTTCAAAAGACCTTTGTAAAGTGTTAAAAGCAAAGATGTCACTTTCAGGATTAAACCATAGCATTTTCAATCACCTCGTATGCATGCAAAAGCCAGACAATGAGTAAGGAAGATGGAAGTTGTTGTTGTTAAGTGTCATCGAGTCAGACCTAACTCATAGCGACCCCTCCTTGGGTTGCCGAAGCAGTATCACTACGGAAGTAGATTGCCCAACCTTCCTTCTGAGGAGTGGCTGGTGGGTTTGAACCGCCAGCCTTACGGTTAGCAGTCAAGTGTCTTAGGCACTATGCTACCAGAGCTCCTGGAAGACCAAAGAAGAACTGATATATTTGAATCATGGGGTTGGTGAAGAATATTGACTACACTGTGGACTGCCAGAACAAACAAATCTGTTTTGGAAGAATTACAGCCAGAATGCTCCTTAGAAGTGAGGATGATGAGATGTAATCTTATGTGTTCTGTATATGTTATCAGGAGGGACCAGTCCCTGGAGAAGGACACCGCGCTTGGTAGAGGGTGAGCAAAAAAGAGGAGGACCCTCAGTGAGATAGATTGGCTCAGTGGCTGCAACAATGGGCTCAAATGCAGCAATGATTGCGAGGATGTGCAGGACCCAGCAGTGTTTTGTTCTGTTATACACAGGGTCACTATGAGTCAGCATCTAGCAATAGTTGGGCAGTGTACAACCTGTACAACCTTATATGGCAGCCCTACAGACTTTCATTACCTCACGCCCAAAGGAAGCGCAAGGGAATAGTTGGAGCCTAGCAAGATAAAACATCTAAAAAATCCAGCCCCCCACTCCAGGACCTTCCTTGCACCCATCACACCCCAACACAGGTCCCTCTGGACTTACGCTCCACTCAGCACTTTCAAGGATCGCACTGTCTCAAAGCCAAGCTCCAGCACTCTGGGGCATTCGGCCGTGAACTCGTGCCGCCGGCCCTGGAAGCCCTCCTCGTCCCACACCACCATCTAAGGCGGAGAGGAAAGAACACAGGGACCTGCGTCAGAGCCCTGTGGGGGTGAGGGGTTGGGGGCTCCCTCCAGGACTCAGGGTGGAGGAGCAGGGCAGAAAACTCTGACTTATGGTAACCCTGTGCGTGTCAAGCATTGAACTGTGCTCCCTAGATTTTCTGTTGCTAATTTTGACTCGATGGCACATAACAACAACAACAACAATTTTTTGAAAGTAGATCTCCAGGCCTTTCTTCCTCAGGGTGAATTTGAGCTGCCAACCTTTAAGTGAGTGGCATGGGCTTCATTGTTCGGGCCACCCAGGGACTCCATCTCCAAGGTAAAGGAGGTGACGAAGCAGGGACAGTACACTCAGATGACTCCAGCAGCCAGGCAGGTAAGGTAGGTGGGGCCTAGGAGGAGCTGGAGATCACAGGTCCCACATAAACGGGTGGCCACTGTTCACTGTCAACAACTGTCACCACGCAGGAGTGTGGACTAGAGCTTCCAATTCTCAGGACAGCCACTGAATTCAGAATTTCAACAAATATATTTTTTAAGTTTTTTAAAACACAAAGGAGGCCAAAGAAATCATTCCCCAGAACTGTGTGCAACCGCTGGGCTGCCAGTTTTTTTCTCTCTCCCAGAGAGTAATCCCTGTGTGGCATCAATGGTTGGTGTGCTCCACTGCAAACTGAAGGGTTGATGGTTCAAGTCCACCCAGTGGCACCTTGTAAGTAAGGCCTGGCCATCTCCTTCTAACCAATCAGCCACTGAAAATCCTACGGAGCACAGTTTTGCACTAACACACATGGCGTCGGATCAGACGGAGTCAACTGAACTGGAGGCAGTGCTGGTGGCCAGAGAGGATAATGGTTAATGTTTTAGAACCAGAAGACCCAACTTCAAATTTTATTTTGAATTCTCTCTCTGCCCCTGGCAGTGACCTTGGGCAAGTTGCTCGCCCTCTCTGAGCCTCAGTTGTACCCTCTGTGAACCGGGCAGATCAAAAACCCTATCTCCTAGAAGTGACCTAGGACGTCAGTGAACATGGGGAAGGGGCTCTCTGAATCCGGTTTGAAGCCTGCCCCCCACCCTGCTTCCCCCCACTTCCCCAGCCCAAGGCTCTTCCTACCTTCCAGTGTCCCCCCAGCTTGGTGCACGGCAGTGTCATGGTGGTCCCTTCCTAAACAGGAAGAAAAAAACAAACTCACTGCTACACAGTCAATTATGATTCACAGCGACGCCCATTGGCGTCTGTTTCTTTACAGAAGTGGATTGCCCCCATCTTCCTTCCGAAGAGTAGCTGGTGGATTTGAACCACCAACCTTCAGGTTAGCAGACCTTAGGCCTTAGGCACTGTGCCACAAGAGTTTTCCTAAACAGGAGAGGAACATAATCATCTTCTGCCCTGACGCTGCTCTCCTCTTTGACGCCAAAGGCTGATTTAGACTGAGTTGGGGTCCAGATGAGGCCCAGCTGTGACTGGGCTAGGGACAAAGTGTGGCTTCAGCCTGTTCCTCTTTCTTCCGTCCCATGCCCTCTTCGTCCTTCCTGTAGCCATCTCCAACCCCCTCCCCCAATCTGGGTTCTGTTCACTCTACGTCCTACAGTCCTATTTGATCTGCTGTCTAGACTGTTCTGTACCCGTCGGCTGGTGAATGCATCACCTGGCAAGTACCTCTTCCAGAGACGGTCCCTATTCTAAATGAGGCAAACCTAGCCAACAGGACTATGAGAGTAGATTTGCTTTTCAATGAGGATAGGAGCCCTGATGGTGAAATGGTTAGGCACTTGGCTGCTAACGAAAAGGTCAGCAATTTGAACCCACCCAGAGGCTCTGAGGGAGAACGGACCTGATAACTTGCTCCTGTAGAGCTTACAGCCAAGGAATCCTTATAGGACAGTTCTACTCTGTCACACGGGACTCGCTCTGAGTCAAAACTGACCCAGTGGCACCTGCCAACAACAAGGCAGGTGAGGGTCTGGATGAGTAGACCCGTCCTTGGTTAGGGTGAAGATGGCATTCAGGGTGACACAGGATATTCCCAGGGTTGGGGACCTGGGCTGCCCTGCCTACCAGGTCAGCTCCTGATCCCCGCTTCCCCAAGTCTGGAACTTACCGAGCTGGGCCCAGAGAACATGCCAGACCTGGGCCAGCTGCGGCCAACTCTTATAGTCTGAGCAGGGAGAGGGCCCCCCTCGTTGGGGAGGCAAAGCCCCGACTCAGCAAGCACGTGGCAGAAACAAAAGCAGGCCCTGGAGAGGGGTCAGCGGCTGCGGCTCGGGCTGGGAGGGAGCGAGCCAGCTCATCACCCCCAGCAATGAGTGCGGAAGTGAACAAGGAGGGAAAGGTCTGCCGGGGTTGGTGAGCACTGAGTGAGGAGTCCGAAAACCTCGTTCTCATCCTGTGACCTTGGGCAAGTCACCTCTCCTCTGTTTCTGCCTATGGAAGAAACATAAACTTGGGTTGTTGTAAAGTTAGGTAACGTGCCTGCCACAGAACACTCCACAGATTCCTTCTCCCCTGCCACCCTCTTCCCCTTCCAGCTGGGGCAGTCAGGGGAGGCTTCATGTTAGAGGTAGGATTTCAACTAGATTCTGAAGGGTGGGGAGTATTTGTACAAAGTGAAATGGAAGCAGGAATATTCCAAGCTGAGGAAATAGGCAAACGTGTAGAGGTGGAACCTGTGGCATGTGACAAGAAAGAGCCGGTGGCCTGATGGGGCTGAAGCCCCAAGGTCATGAAGGGGAGCAGATAGAGAGAGACAAGAGAGGTAGGCCAGGCCAGAACCTGCAGGGTCCACCAAGCTACGCAGATGAGTTGGCTGGCTCTGAGGGCAGAATAAAGAAAAGCCGGTGGGCGCAAATATGCTTTGCAAACTGTACAGCACCTGCCAACTCTTGGGGGTTTGTAGGGTTTGCTGTGTGCACCCCTACCCTGCACCCCTGCCCTGCACCTTGGCCTCTTATTGCTTAGGAAGGAGCATGGCTAGAAGCCAGAGCGCTGGGTATGAAACCCAACCTTGCACTCACCACCTGGGTCACCTGGAGGCTAACTGAGCCTCACAGCCTGGAAAAGGGTGGCACCAATTTCCTCCAGGCAGGGTTAAGAGCCCTGGTGGTGCAACAGTTAATCTCTCGGCCGCTAACCAAAAGGTTGGTGGTTCGAACCCACTCAGCAGCTTTGTGGAAGAAAGACCTGCCTTCGTAAAGGAGCTCTGGTGGTCTGATGGTTAAGGCATTTGGCTGCTAACCAAAACGTCAATGGTTCAAATCCCCCAGTGCGCTGTGAAGAAAGATGAGGCAGTCTGCTTCCATAAAGACTGACAGCCTTGGAAACCCTGTGGGGATTGAAATTGACTCAATGGCAGTGAGTTTGGTTTTGGTAAAGACCACAACCGGGAAACCTTGTGAGCCAGTTCTGCTGTGTCACGTGGGGTCTCTATGAGTTGGGATCGACCGGACGGCACCTAAAAACAGCAGCTAACACGTGACCTCAACACAGAGTTGCCATGAAAACTAAAGATGAAGAACACAACCTCTGCAGCCAGAGTGAATCTGAATCCCACTCTTACCGGCCGGGTAACACTGGTATGTTACCGAACCTCAGTTTCCTCGTGTGTAAAATGGGTCTAATAAGGGTTAGGTTCAGAACAGTGAGTGCAACAAGGTAAACTGGGTTTATAACAATGAGTAAAGTGGATTTAACCTAACACATAGGGGTATTGGGAGGAT